GGTCAGAGAACTAGGCTCTGGGCAACAAGCAAGGATTTAGCACTGACGGTGAAGAAAGGAAAACTGTGATCCTCAAAAGATGACAGACACACAACGATCAGGGAGGAAACAAAAAGTGAAAGTGACTTCTCCTCCACTGGTCAGACCCACAGTGTCCTGTCCTGATCTCCCAAGAGAAGTGCTTTCAAACTCCTGGAAAGAGAAGGCAGATCCTTGCCAGTTCAATGATTCTTTCCTCATGCTCTTCAACCAACAATAGTGCTAGGAGAAAGTCTGAGTGGATGGATACAATTGCAAAGTGCAAAGAGCAAGAGTGAGGCAGTAGGGGATTCAGCTTGTAGTCTTTTTTATTTTTCCAGTTATTAATTCAGGTCAAGGAAGTGAGAAATATATCTTAGATGTGTATTCATCTGCTTAAATTGTAGCTTCAGAGGGACCTTGGTTCTCTGAGAACCAAGAGAACTGGAACAATTTTCTACAAATTATTGGATAGGTGTTCTATTAATCTTGGGCAGAATGGGAGACAGTACCCTTGCTTCTGTTAAAGTATCAGAAGAAGGATTGTCCAGTCAGTTAATTCCCTGAACACTCAAAATATTCATACATTAGTGCAAGAAGCACAGAAAATAAATGAGAAATTGTAGGAATCTTAAATACAATAGCCCACTTACAGCTCAATTAGCACAGCTGAGAGTTACTGCATTATCAGAATGCTAACAGACAGGCAATGATCACAAAGGAAAAATGGACAAGAGTGGTGTCACAGGGACACTAAGCAGGAAAGATCATGTGAACAAAGATTTTTAAGAGCAACTAACAGAATCAGCCAAAGCTCCACATTTGGAAATAACAGAGACTTTGCCATCTGCACATATAGTAGACAAAAAAGATACTGAACAGATTGTCCAACTAAGTCTTGGAATGCATTAGTAATGTGTTTATTAAGAATACAACTACAAGGGAGCTCATTCTTCCATTTAATTCCAGGAAGCAGGAAGGAACAAGTTGAGAATGCAGAGGGGAAAGGTGGATGAGACTATGAAATGTGTTCCTGTTTTTCATGAAGGAAAGGAAGAACAGTAAAATAAAGTTAATTAATTCAGCTTTCCCAAAGTTCAGTCTACTCAGGGATCCTATGGAAAATATGCCTAAGAGGAAAGGAATCTCAGAAAGTTGGTACCTTTTCTGAGAAAAGTATGAATGGCGCAGTAGCAAAATAGAGCAAGACAGGGGGATACATGTAACAAGAAGGCAACTTGCTTCAGTCACAGGCAATTCAGCATAAACAAGAGGAAATACAAACAAACAGCAAAGGACAGAATATTGAGGATAATCAATAGAACAAAACACAAGAAACTAAAAAAAAAAAAAAAAAAGCATTTTGCAGAAGACAGTGTGCGAGATGCACTAAACAAGAAACTAATGATGGTTAGCTGGAGGAAAAGGTATTGAGATTTAAACAGAAATGCATCATCTGTAGAGTACTTGTAGGAATCACCACCAGTACATGAGTACATGGTAATGGTAACACTTGTGCTACAGTGTGACTTTCAGTTCAGGAACCTACTTCAAGAAAGGTGCGAACTGAATAGGGAGACAACAAAAATATGTGAGGAGAATGATCAAGAACTACAGAACACATCTATAGTGAACGAATCCATCATCACCATTGAAGAAATCAGGACTGTTCATCCAAAAAATAAAAAATAAAAAATTTAAAGAACTGAGGCAGAAGGTAACTATCTTCCAAGACTCAGCCCATGGAAGCAGGCACAGAGACTGAGGGAATGATCTATCCCCTGTGCCCACTGCTGACAGAACAAAGAGTAGAAAGGGAGATTTAGATGTGGCACAAGGAAAATTTTGCTGATTGTGAGTGATCCTTCAGAGTGCTCAACTCTCCTTAGGAAGGGCTGGAGTTCTCCATTACAATGACTGCTTCTTTCACAGCTGTCCCTCCTGAGCACTAACTACTTTGTGTGCTGCTCTCACTCTCACTCCAAAGGCTGCCAGCATCTAAAAGTATTGTTAGTGTTGCCCTTTCACTGATGATGACAGATTGTTTCAATTTATTTCTAACACTACATCTTTTTCAGAAACCAGACTCTCTCTATCTTGTCCAGACAGAACACAGCTTGACACTACCTTCACGATCCAGGTTTTGTTGCTAAGGCAGTAGAGAAAGCAGTAATAATAACTTTGCAACACTGGTCCATCATTGATAAACAACATCTCAGTAGGGCTATAATTGCATCAGCTTGAATCCAAAGAACAGACTTCACATACACGTCATCATAGCTTATAGAAGAGACCTGTTCTGGGTGTAAGTCAGGGCTGTACATAAGAAAAAAATGTCCACATGTTGATCTTTGCTCAGCATATTGCAGAACTTGGAAGGTGCAGGTGGTACAAGGCAAGAAATTCCAGGAACAGAAAGAACCATCTCATAGTTAAGTACAGGTCTGGGAATCCAATCTTGCCTCTGCCGAAGGATTATAACAACATAATGAGGTGATCACTTAAACTTTTCATAAGTTGTGGTCAGCTGTTTGCTCCCCGTGTTCTGAGTGCTTGATTTGAAAGTTTGCTGCCAAATTTGCAAAAGGACAGACCACAGCTGCAAGTGAATGAACAGGAAATATAAACGGAACATAGCAAGTGCTACAATACTGGTAAGTACCTGCAAGATCTTGCGTGTCTTAGCTGGACCCCAACAATTCGCAGGTTCTCCACCTGAATAACTCTATGCCTCACTTCCTAACCTACAGGGTGGACTTAACAACTGTTTTCGGAAAATTCACTAGTGCATATGAAGCATTTAGCTTTCACAAAGAGGAAGCTGATAACTGAATTCAAAGCAGGGGTTGAAGAGTGTGCAGTAAAGTTGGAACATTGCCACACACTGAACTATGGGGAGAGATCAATACATTGAGTGACTGCTCAGTCAGTGTTCCTCCCACATTGTGCGTACAGCTCACAAAAATGAATCCTGTGAAATAAAGAAATGCCATCATTTGATAAAGTACAGAGTGGCAGGAAAAGACTAGTCATGCAGACATCTGCAGCCAAAACAAGCAATTGAGTTCATCAGTAGCAGTTTGGGTTTGGCATCTTTCTCTCCTCTGACAAACTGCAAAGAGTATTACCAAGGAATGCAGCCACAGAGCAGCTGATTATACCCTCGCCAAAATGTCTGTGTTAAGGTACCATCAGTAAAAACAAACTGCACACATATTAAAATTGTTTTAAGGACCCAACTAAAGTTCAATTCAAATGACGTTTGATTTACAAGAGAATTTTCCTGTTAGGACATGCCTTGGTGATCAAAGTGTTAGAGATTTTCCTTGTGCGTGGGTACAGGTTAGCTGTATAAATGTCACACAGGCTAAACAATTAATTTTTTGTGCTTTGAGGCCTCAGTTGTAGCTTCCAACATCAGTTTGTGTTCCCTTAAATGTAACAGCCATGGGTTTTGCAGCACTGTCAGTGTGCTGGTTTTGCAGACAAGTCATTTGGTGAGGTCTGTTCTACTGGCACAGATCACCATCAGCCTTGTTTCCATTTCCTGAGGTGTTGGGTTATCCCACAAAGACTGCTGTCCCCAGGCCTCTCCATGCCAACAAAGGGGTCTAATGTCACGTCTTTTCCTTGTACCTCTTCAAAGACCTGTGTTATACCCTTATTTTCTGCCACCTGTCCCAGAGAGGGCCTATTTACCACTTCTGCCACACTGATAGTTTGGATGCCACTATTTTACCTCATCAAACTCACCAGGCCTCTCAGAGATGCAGGGTAGCTCTGTACCCCCTAGCTTTCCCCATCTACAGCTGATGGGGAATTTGCTTCATTTCAGAAAAGACAGAGTTCCAATGTTATGTGGCAGTCCCATAACTGCCCCACAGCAGTCTCCTTCTCTCCTGCTAGCAGCAACCAAAATCCACTGCTCTTGCCTCCCTTTCTCTATTCTCCTTGCCAGAACGCTTGGCTTTCCTCATCTCTGTGTAAAGACTTGGTAAATCCAGGATGAGCAGAAAGCACGAAGTGCCATCACTGCTGTGCTTCCATGCCATCATTTCATGCAGGGCAGCACAGCTCTTGCTCTGCATCACTGATTGTAGAAATACAATTATTGTGTGTTGCCTATCAACTGAAATCTTTTTAGTGAGAGACTGTGGGATGATATATATGAGCGATGAGTGTATGGTGAATACCCTTCTAGGAAATTTTAAAGTAAGTGTTGATAAATGCTCAGATAGTAAGAAAGAAAACGGGAAAAGAATAAAATTAAAGAGCTAGTAATAATCCATACTATAAATTTGTAGAATCTCATCATTTATCACTGACAAAATGAAGCTTGCTTAGCATAATAAGCATCAATCGCCAATCTATTCTTCAGCCCTTGAGGATGCAGTTATTGTGAATTATACAGCAATAAACAGATAGCACTAAAACCATTCTTTTTCTTTAGCTTTGATTTACTGCCCTGAGCACCATAAAATTGAAATCGGTATAGCAACACTGGAAAAAGTCGTGATAAATTGGACCTTAAGGACTTGATCTGTAATACTCAGTAGTCACACTTCAGAAGGTCGTGAATAAAAAGGTGTTGCTTACAGCAAAACAAAATTGCATTCTCTAAGTAACACAGCTGGCAATATTTCTGCGTTAGGCAATCAGCTATAATTTCTGCAATGTGGAGTGTGACCTCAGCTCTCATTGAAAATTATCACATCCAGTTCTATCAGTGGTTTGCAAGAGTATTTCTGTACACTGTACAATCATACCTTCCAGTTCATTTGCAAATTCTCTAGAGCATGTACTGGAACCTAAGTTTGGCCTGCCATCCAGCTTTGTGGGACCCCGGGTTTGATTAGGCACCCACACAACACAGCAATACAAATATATCATTAATAATAATAATCAGTAGACATACATATTTGGAATGAAAAGAGAATGAAGCATCCAAAAGTCTAGGAAATGAACCACGGACAAGAAATGAATCAGTGGAGATGAACTATTTTATTTTTTTTGCCAACTGTTTCCTCTTCAGTAAACTCTGACAAATGTCCAGGAGGTATTTCAAAGCTTGAGTTTCCTAGTGCAAATGAAGAGTAAATGAACCACAACAGACATTTGGGTTGCTTTTATTTTTAACAAGTGGTGGCACATAATCAATTTTTCCAACCAACATTCTTGATTTTGGAGATAAAATGTAATGAATGTAATGTGCACGTACAGTGATTTCCATCACCAAGTATTTCACAGAAGACCTTGCAAAAGAACAAATAAAGCATTACATCACCTAACATGAGCTGAGGGATTGAGAACTGCTGAATAGCTCAGACAGTATCTAAATCTCTGCTTTGTTTGTTTAAAGAGAAGAAGTCATCTGATGATATTTCAGGCATGCATGAGATTTTGCTTATTAGGACATTAAGAAATTATATTAAATCAGACAATATGAACATCTCTCAATCATAAAGAAAATTGAAAATCAACTTACTTCTGAGAGCACTTGTGAAGATTATAATTATGTGATTGGAGAGGTGATGTGTGTGCAATATACACATGCTCTGGGGGTGTTTGTCAGATGGTGTGAAACTCTTCCACTCTCATCTCAGAAAACATATTTACCTGCAAATAAAATCAATTACTTTCCATTTCCCACTCTTCCACAGCAAGATTTGGATCTGTGTTTTACAGTCTGACTCCAAGATCCCACATGGCAGAGGGATCTGGTCAGCTTACTTTTGGCCTGCTTCACAGTTGCCTACTGTAGGAGACCACACAGTCCTCCAGAGACAAAGACACTGCACTGCAGGCAAGGGGTGACCTCAGTGCTTTAAAAAGTCTGAAGCAAAAGCAGAAGGTGGTCTTCTTCACTTCCAACCTGCCAGATGCCTCCCCAACTTGTTAACCAACACATCGTTTATTGCTGAGACATAAGCAAGGAGGCTAACTTTAGCAAGGATAATCACCACAGAGCAAGATCTTGCACTCTAATCTAACCAGCCATTTTGACTACACTGTGTTTTCTTTTGTATTAGAATAATAAAAAATGCCAGCAGAGCAAGCATTCAGCCTGCAAGTTTTCTTTCCTTTCCATTTTGATTTTCACTATTTGTAAGATTATGAGCCAGGCTTGCTATAAGGAAAAACGGATTTTTTATCTAGTTATAGATCTTTGGCAACAAATCCTAACTCGTTCACCTCTCCTGAAAACCAAGCTGGTATGTTGCAGCCCTTCAGTCCAAAAGCTTTTTGACCTACTATCCTAACTTAAATTAGTTCTTACTTCTGTGCTGATTTCTGTAAAGCACTGTGAAAATTTTAACAGATATTATAAATAATGGATAACCTTGAGAAACATTGTCTTACAGATATAAGTAGCAATTCCACATGCCCTAAAACTATTGCAGTTTAGTTTCCTATCAATCTCTATCTCTCAGTTGCTTCACTTTGGTGATTAAAACAAATGAAGCCTTTTCTGTAGCTGTAGCATTTACAAGGACTCAAATGAGAAACTGATCAGCAAATACTAAAACCAAATATATGCACAGAAAAGCATATGATCATGTGCCACAATTCTACAGGAATCCAACCACTGCAGAACAGAACTAAGTTAAGCACTGAGTGCTAAGTGGTATTCAGTACTGTGGTACCAAACAGCAGGAAATGGGAAAGTGGGTTAGGGCAGGCTTAACAAAAAGAACTGAAGAGAAGGCTCTAGCAGGAAATAGCTGGAAAAAACTGAGCCCTGCCTGCCAGTGAGTTTTATTTGCTCTTCAGACAACAATGGAACAATGGCAACCACAGACATGGCATGCAGGATATACTCTCCTCTGAACATATACAAGCATAACAGTGTGAATTTTATCTATCAAATTGGTACTATAAAAAATTCCAACTCCCTCTGGTGCTGTCAGGATAGAGAAGTCAAAAGCTGTGTTTCTCAGATACTAGTGTATCAGACAACACATAATTAACTAAGATGGTTAAACAACCAAGGAGAGCAAGATAATATCCACTGGCCCAGCTAACTGATTCTCCTCCACTTTTTGAATGGAATCCAGTCAGAGAACAGTCTTCAGCATGGCCAAGAGTATCAGAAGTTGTTTTTTTTTTATTTAGCTTCTTGGTAAGCCATTTGGCAGCCTGGAATGTTATGCAAAGTAGTAGTTAGGGAAGTCTGCTGTATTTAGGAAAGCTAATTACAGAGTGGTTGGAGGACAGAGAGATGCCAAGAGGGAGGAAGGTTCCACTTCAGAAATGGAACACCAGTAAAGGCAGGAGGGCATGTAATCAGTCAGAGCTTGCCTTTATCAACCAAGAATGATTACAGGTGTGGCTTCCAGCTTGCTGAATATTATCAGCCATGAGAATTAATCAGATTTTTGACCTATACATGAAACTGTTATCTCAGACCCTCCCATATACAGAAGTATGGTACTGAGTTGTTCTAGAGAGCAAAAGTGATTTGATTTACTTAAGTGGTTTCTTACTCTAATAAATCTGTGGTATGTATTATTAGTCACTTTCTCTGATTCAGAAAACAGTGATCTTACAGGAAGAGCAGCTGATATATTTTGAACACAACAGTCCACCTGCACCTTTCTTCCAAGAAAAAGTAGCAAGTGTGGTGGAGAAAAGCCACAAACCCTTTCACTACTAACACTTACTGTTACTCAGGTGTGTGAAATGCTAATTCACAACGCTGGGAGGAGGAAAGAAGAGGAAAAGCAGCACACATTTATTTCTGGATTACAATGCACTTAAGCACGAACAATAAAGCTGGAATCTGTGGTCTGCCTGTAATGAGCTCACAGCAGTTTGGAAGCACGAAGAGCAAAGCTCACACTTAGACAAGCAGCTTAAGGAAGTCTCGAGGACAAAGAACGCGTGCTGATAAACCACCTCCACCGGTGTACCTGGGTACGACCAACACACAAAACCCGCCAACCAACCCAAGCTACGTCTGCAGACGCGGGGAAAGGGCTGCTAGCAGGAACGAAACGCGTCTCCCAGGCCGGACCGCTGCTCCCCGTCACAGCACCAAGGCCCACCACGCTCCATCCTGCCACATGCCAAGCCACGACCAGAAGCAGGAGCTGAACGGAACCCACGAGCGCTCTCCAAATAACGCCTTCTGGTGGTTTTGCGCGGGCCTTCACGCCCCACACGTAGCATCCCCGTCAGCAGAGAGTAGCACGAGGCATCGCCGCCCTCCCCTTTCCCCCTGCACCACAGCCACAACAGGGCAAGCGCAGGCCAACAGCTCCTCACCCACCCCGCCGCCACGACCGTCCTACCCAGGCGCTGCCCCCCCAACCCCACCCCTACCGCGGACCACGTGGCCCTGGCTCCGCAGCGCTGCCGCGCGTGCGCCGTGCCCGCTCCCCCTGCCCGGCCGAGGCAGGGGCTCTGAATCAAAATGGCGGCGGCCGGAGCGAGGCCGGGAGGGAGCGGGTGGCGCTGAGCGGGGAGGATGGCGGCTGCGGACAGCTGCCGGAGGTGAGGCGCCGCGGGGAGCCGCGCGGGGTTAGGCGGGCAGGGAGGAGGGCCGAGCTCGGTGTCGCGGTGGGGGAGGACAGGAGGTGAGATCGCCGACCACCTCCCAGCGGGGCTCCCGGGGCCGGGACGTAGCGCCGCGCTCCGGCCGCTGTCGGGCTTTCCCCGAGGCTGCCTCGTCGCGCTGTGCGGGCCCGCGGGGTCTTCGCCGTGGGGGAAGCGGCCCTTCTTGTAGCTGTGCGAGCTAGCGAGCAGGGCGGGCTCGGCCCGCGGGTAGCACGGGGCCGGAGCGCGGGGTTCCGGCCCTAAGGCCGCTCCTGAGCGGCGCTGCCGCCGCCGTATGGGTTCGGGCCCCGCGGGGTTGGAGTGCGGAACTCGGTCCGGCGGCAGCCGTGCCACAGCGGCTCCCGGACCCGCGCCGGGGTTTCTCCGCTGCCTCGCTCGGCTCAGCCCTTCGCGTACTGCTCCCGTCCCTGTGTTGTTCCTGAGGAAACTTGCGGGGCTCAGCGCGCTGTGCCTCTGGAATATTCCTCCTGCAAGTGGGATAGGGACCTGTGTGGTTTCGTGCCTCCACTTGTTCGTCCCTAAAGTGTCTTTTGAGGCATCAGGTGAAAGAGGACACGCAAGTGAAGAGCTAACGTGAAATACAGCGGAAAGGTCACAAAGTGCTCATAGAGGCCATGATTTACGCATTTACTTTGTGTGAGAATTTTGCCCTGAGAATGCAGCGTTGCTTGAGGATTTGCTCCAAGTCAGTGTAATGTAATGCACGCATCTGAAGCATTTGGCAGATGCACCTTTGAGATGTGGTCAGTTCAGGTTTTACCACATATTGCATGCTCTGCTCCCTTTTAGAATAGGGGGAAATAAAAGTAGAATCTTGAGTGTAAAAATTTCAGTGCTCGTAACTTTGAGGCACTGAGTAGCTCAATGACTTAAAGCTTCTCTGGCACTGTCTGAAAGATGTTGAGGAGAACTATTCTTCTGAGTCGTCTTTATTGCTTCAGAGTGAACCTTACACCACATTCTCCATTTCTCTGTGTTAGTATGCTGCTTTTTGGGAGGAAGGGGATTCCTGTTCTGATCCCTGTCTACTGGAGCCTTTTGATTTAAGAAAGCATGTTTCCTTCTTCCTGCTCTCCTCTTGGGTGTGGAACAAGTGTCTCTTATTTAGTAGTATGCAGGCTCTGTTGACTGTATAGTTTAAAATGAAGATAATGTACTGTAAAGGTAAGGCTCGTGATGTTCTCCCCCTTCACGGAATAACTTAACTTAGTTGATCAATGGCAATGTAAGCGATCTTTGTAAGAACTTGCTACTTTGTTGCACCAAGTAACTTTGTATAAACTTCACATCAGTTCATTCTTACGTGAGAATCTGTGTCTTGGTGAACACGGCTTGATTCTTTGGTTATGGTATTAAGCTGCCAATTGCTGTCCGGTTTTGTTCAGGTTGGTTAGATTTCCACAGCTGAACTGCATTCAGGTCATCTCAGAAATGGAGGTGAATGTTTCTCATAGAATGTACAACCAGTGTCTGTTCTTTGTAGGTAAGGGGGAAGAAAGTATTGAATACTTTGTGTTTTGGCTCAGCTGTGCCTAACCATTGTTTTTCTTGCTTTCAACTTTAGCCAGTATATGAATGGGCTTGATTCTCTGATCTAATTTTGTGTGTATAAGCATACAAGGAGCACATACATGAGTCATCTTGGTTAGCTTTGTGTGGCATTATTGAAACTGCTGGTTTCTTAAAATCCTTTTGTCCTAATAATGTGAGGGGAGCTTTCTTCGGGCTTCTAGATTCCCTGCTGAGTCATGGATACAGTAGTGTTGTAATGCTTATAGTTGGCATTGACTTATTTGCAAAGAGTCATACATGAAAGAATTATTTTTATAAGTGCTCCTGGAAGACTTGTGTGAACTTGTCATTGCTTTTTTTTAAAAAAATTTTTTTTTTTTTTCTCCTGTTTTTTAAGCTTGTTGGGATGCTCAGAACTTTTCATTATGGAGGCACGTTGCTCATTCTTTAAGTAGAGTACAATATGCTGCCTTTGCAGGCAGCTGTTTGAATATAATTCAGTGGAGCTGTCAGAGCTTGATGAATAGACTAACAAAACAGGGAGCTTGGCTTTGAAAGAGGCTTTTCAAGTTGCTGCATACCTGGTATCAGGTTTACACCTGTCTGATAGTTACTGATGGTAACTAACCTGATGGCTTGGATGGTGGCTTCCTCTGTCCTCTGCAGGTTGCGCTAGTGCTGTGGTAGCTTCTATGTGGTCCTGTGCATGGCTGTAGCAGGATGAGTGATGCTAGCTAACCCTGGTGCTGTACTAGCGTGTGGTCCTGATGTATTGGACCACGTATAAGAAAAAGCAGACGTGTTCTGATAGCCCCACAGTGATGACAGAGGTAACTGTAGCCGCCTTGCAGAATCAAAAAGGCATAACATCCTATGGACGTCCCACATGGGATAATGTGAACTACGTGCAGTCCATCTTTTGAAGAAGAAATAAGTGCTCTTACTACCGAAAAAAATATGAGTGCTCTTGTGGCAAATCCTGATAGAAAACTTCTAGGTTCCATCTTAATTGCTGTTTTTGCATTTCTGAACATATTTACATTAATTTTTGTATCTATTACTAGATCTCTGACTTGCACCACTTTCTCAAACAACAAGACTAGAAAACCTGTTGTACAGACTTCTAGTGCAGGCTGGGAATCCTTGTTCACATCTAAGTTTCCAGTGAGTCACATAATTACTATATGTCAGTTTCATTATCCAAGCTCTTTCAAGAATGAGGCTTATCAATGTATCTTTGAATAGAAGCAACTATAGATTTTTAGAGGATTATGTCCTTTGTTGCTTACCAGTGTGCCTAAACTATAGTATGAAGGGACTGCAGATGCAAAGTTTCTTTGTTTTTGTGCCTATTTAGTCTGTCCTGCACATCTCTCAAGCAGGATGCCAGTTGTAATGATGTCTTCTGCATAATGAATGGGTGCTAGGAGATATGAAGTGTTTTATGCAGACCGTGTCAGCCCTGTCTTGGTGAGAGTAGAAATGGGCAAGAAGAAAAATGGATAGGAAGGAGTTGAATGCCTAAAGCCTGAATGTGTTCAGAAATGCAAAAACAGCAATTAAGATGGAACCTAGAAGTTTTCTATCAGGATTTGCCACAAGAGCACTCATATTTTTTTCGGTAGTAAGAGCACTTATTTCTTCTTCAGAAGATGGACTGCACGTAGTTCACATTATCCCATGTGGGACGTCCATAGGATGTTATGCCTTTTTGATTCTGCAAGGCGGCTACAGTTACCTCTGTCATCACTGTGGGGCTATCAGAACACGTCTGCTTTTTCTTATACGTGGTCCAATACATCAGGACCACACGCTAGTACAGCACCAGGGTTAGCTAGCATCACTCATCCTGCTACAGCCATGCACAGGACCACATAGAAGCTACCACAGCACTAGCGCAACCTGCAGAGGACAGAGGAAGCCACCATCCAAGCCATCAGGTTAGTTACCATCAGTAACTATCAGACAGGTGTAAACCTGATACCAGGTATGCAGCAACTTGAAAAGCCTCTTTCAAAGCCAAGCTCCCTGTTTTGTTAGTCTATTCATCAAGCTCTGACAGCTCCACTGAATTATATTCAAACAGCTGCCTGCAAAGGCAGCATATTGTACTCTACTTAAAGAATGAGCAACGTGCTTCCATAATGAAAAGTTCTGAGCATCCCAACAAGATATTTTATAGCTTACAGTCTGAAGTTCTGCACAGCTTCTGCACATCATTTTCTATATGTTATTTCCTGTCTTTCGGTTTGTTGTTGTTTCTGTTTTGTATTCATTTCCAGTATTCTGGCACGAGGTGCTCATGTCAGAGATGTTACCTGCAACCAAGGTGATCTGTATGTTCTCAATTTCTTGTCCTGGGGACTAGAGCAGAGCACTCTCTTGTTTTATTGGGATGTGTGTGAGGTTCTAGGTAGATGTTTAGCCCAAACATTTGTCCACAGCTGCTTTTTCCTGCTTCCGGCAGTCTCTTCAGCTGCATTGGTAAAGCTGTTTACATGGCTTCATTCTGAAATTGATATCTGAAAAATAAACGACTAGAACACAGAACAACTTTAGATAAGGCCCTAAATCTGGGGCATCATATTTCTGTGGAAAGCTTGCTTGCTTCCGTGGTACAGAGGCAAGGCCAGGTAGGCAATGTGGTAGCAGGACTGTGCCTGAAGCATGTTGGGTTGAAGTATGTGTGTAACTAGATACTCAGATTTAAATCCAGTTTGCTTACTTCATGTGTGCAACTGCTGTAGAACATTACGCCACGCAGTGCTAACTGTGTACTTCAATAGCTTGTGGAACTTGTGAGCTTTCAGATCTCAGACTGCTGAAGTTTTCCTGATGTCTGTAGATTTAAATTGTTTCTCTAAATGGAAAATAGGAATTACCATGTTTTACCAGAGTGGTCTAGCATCCAAAATATTTTAACAGCAGTCAAACCTGATTAGGTAGAAACAGCCCTTAGTATGATGCGTGTAGAGGGGAAAATTGGATAGGTGACAGTCAAGGGTAATGTTTTTCCAGATTGGTTTCTTAAGTTTCAGAACTATTTTCAGGAGATCTTGTTTTGTTTTTCAAATTCGACGTTCAAACACTACCTGTTATCCATGTGTCCGTTTGGTTGGTAAGTCCTGTTTGATCTCTGTGCACAAATATTGTCTGGGTTCTCACTTTGTGTTCTGTATGGTGTT